ATTTAAAAAATGTGTGTGTGTGTGTGTGTGTGTGTGTGTGTGTGTGTGTGTGTGTGTGTGTGTGTGTGTGTGTGTGTGTGTGTGTGTGTGTGTCGCGCGCGCGCGCGCAATAATTGTTCGCGCTCTCACCTCCGCAATTTTTGAGATATCGCCTTCTACTTTGGCACATTTATTGAGTGTGATTAAGAGATGGCTGGTATTGTATTTGACGATAATCGGTGCAACGGTTCAGTTTATACATACATATATATGTATATTTACGTTGAAATTCCTGTTTAAATTGTGTTAAATTACGTAGTCATCAAAAGTATATTCAGGTTACTGAAGTTTATCCATGATCCAGACAACTCGCTGTCGCATCATATCGGCTCGCCTCTTATACTAATACGGGATGATTTTTACATACGAGAAAGACTAACGCGCGGTCGCCACGTCGCGGCAGTATGTGGTACTAGTGCTATCTATTCAGGTTAACGTTTATCAAATTCTATGAGGGAATCAGGCGTACCGGATCAGGCACATGTCAGGGACTCCTTATTAGGGCATTCTTTACTTCCTCCCTATCGGGCCCTGACCATACATAAGGCATGCATGATTTTATTTCTACTCGGGAGGGAATCAAGCGCACCGGATCAGGCACATGTCGGGAATTCCTTATTAAGGCATTCCTCTACTTCCTCTCTATCAGGCCCTGACCATACATAAGTCATGCCTGTTTCCGTTTCTACTCTAGGGAGCTAGGTTTAAAGGGTGAATTTACGGATGAAGGGCGCACTCAAAAATTTCTCCCTAGCGTTACAATGGAGTATCGCAATAAAACTGCAACGTCGGGACAATAAAGCGACCGGGAAAGTATAAGGCAAAGTTTGCCCCGACTAACGTGTGCCTCGGTATGTCGCGCGGCAGGGTGGAAACCACCGTAACTTCAATGGGGAAACTAGCGCGTAGCATGAGAATCACATTAAAAACTCACGCGATCTTATGCACGAAGGTTAACTGCATCAACCTTCGTTCGCGCGCGTACGCTGACGTTGAAAATATGGTGCCCGCTGAAACGAGGCAGCGCGGACAAAGGCCGGCGCGCCGGGTCATTTTTTAAATCGTGCAGCAAAGCCGCCGCCCCCCCCTCCCTGCCGCCGGCGCAAAGTTCCGTTTCGGCGTAACGCGTGGCCAAATTCCAAGAGTCATCGGAGCGGATTGATTAAAACTTTTCGACGGTGTTCTCCGTCGCATTAATGTCGCTGGGTATTCGAGCCGCGTGCCAAAAGCGCAGCGAAACGGAGAGCGGCGCGAGCTGAAAAACGGCACGCCGGGGCAGACAGCATCCCCGACGCCCCCGTGACGCAGTGTACGACGTCTTCGCGGGCGGGCCGGGATAAAAAATAGTGGCATAAATCCCGCAGGAAATCGATCCGGGCGTCCTTTCTCCCCGGCTTTCCCCGCGCCCCACCCCCGCCGTGACACGCGCGAGATTTACTCGCGGCCAGGAACCAATTTCACCTCTCCATCCGTCATATATCCACCTGATTAGGCGATTTGTTGCAGCCGGATATTCCGGGGGGGATACGACACGTCGCCCCGACGACTCTTTCGAGATCGGCGCCGTGACTTCGCGCCTTCGTACATCCATTATTCTACAAGTTGCTCAGCACCGTCCGCACTTTCCGCTTGTTCACGGGATTCTCCGCTCCCCGGCTGGATATCGAAAGTAAAACTTACGGAATAGTCTTCTCCTGAACATTAATCGAATGAGCTTTGATAGCGCTGAGCGATAAGCGGCGGAAATCTCGAGGAATTAGATTAGTAATCAACTATTCACTTGCTAAACGCGGGTCTATATTTTATCCGCGAGTCTCGGGGATCTATGACGAGCGGTAGAAAGCGATGGAATTAGATCGAAACTCGTTTTACTCTAAATTATCTGCAATCTTCTTGGGGTACGAATCTCCTCGCGTGTTGATTATATCATCCGAAACTGCAATACTAGGTTCAACAAGCTATATATATATATCCAATTTATAATAATAACGTTTGATCTAATTAACGAAACCACACCGCGCGGGAGAACATTGACGTGTATTATTGCTCAAACTTGAAATCAAATTTGTTGCGCCAACATGCCAGCAACTTTAGATTTAATTCGTTGCATTGGGCGTATTTGCTAATAAAGTTAAGTTTGTGCCGCAGCAAAGAAGGACTTTAAAGAATGTCTGAGAAAGTAATGAACCGGCGCCGGTACCAAAGCCCGTGGGGATTCCGGCCTCGCGTTGAATACCTTTTCAGACTCGTACCAAATCCCGCTTTATATTTAGGGCGCGATGTTAAACCCATTAAAGACTCGCGCCGCGCGTGAGTCATCGTAAATTATCAGCCGCGAGCGTTGAACCGGCCGAGAAAAGGGACGAGGGACGGACGCGGAGGGTGGAGCCGGGTCCGCGAGGACGGACTCGATGAGACGGATCCGGGAATCGGATGACCGAAACTCTGGAGCGTTATGCGAATTAATTTAACTCGAAATGTACCGGGCTTCAGACATGGCAGTCGCAACGCGAAACGCCCGTCCCATATCCGTCCGTTTGAGATGTGAATTTGTCCCGCAAATTACATTATGTACACAAGGCACGGCCCCTGGAACACGGGGTCTTCCGACCGAAGGCACAACGCGGGAGCACGCGTTCCGCCGGCGAAATTTAGACAGGGCGAAATTTCAGGATACGCGCCGAATTGCCGGGCGCGACCGCCGGCGACCGCGTCGACGGCGACTGGGACGGACGAGCCCGGGGACTCGGCGTCGTCGCTGCAGGTCCCACGTCTCTGGCGCGCGCGCGCGAGTACGCAATCCCAAAATATTCCGGAGTGGCGATATTTTCTGAACATACGGGCGGCCGACAACTGGCCGCCTGTACACGGGTCGCGTGCATCCGGGCAATTTACAACGGCGGCCTTTTGAATTCAGCAGCGCTCGACCGAGCGCAGAATTTTAAACAATTTGCCACGTGACATGCCGACAGTTCCTACAAAGCCCGCGAAATCTGTACGGATTTTTGTATCGGGGGCGAACAGAGAGATAAATGGGCAGGGGATATTTAGGCATTCATACGGCGTGCCTACATTTACCGCTAAATATGATGCATGCGCGTCTACGAATGCACATCCATGTTATCGCGTTTCTCGTGTGACTGCGCTCGCGCGGAGTTTCCGCGCCTATCGGGAAAGACGCGGCGCGCGCGCGCGACTAACGTCAATCATTTCTCCCTCGGCCTCGGGCCAGCCCACCCCTAATTGATGTCAATTATCGCGAATTAGTATCCTCCGCCGTCCAAGTAAAACCTCGGCCCTCTCCGACACGGCGGTCACCGAATATCGCGGGACAAATTGCTCCCTCGGCACGGAGATTCGAAAGCCATTTTCTACGGTCGACGTCATTACTGCGTTGTTTCCGCGCAACGCAACGCAACGCAACGCGAGTCAAATAAATCCGTCGAATTTGCTCGGGCAGTTCGTCAGATGTAATCGCAGAAACAATAGCGCGAATCTAAATCATCGAACATACGCTGGGAATTCACTTTGCACGCGCGCACGCTGGATTTACTCGTCACGTTAAATCGCCATGTATGTAAGCAGCCCCCGCTCGTCGCTCCTAGAGAAACACACCCCGTACACGATCGCGGCCATTTTGACACGGAACAATCGACACTTTCGAAAAAAAAAACTCGATCTGTAGCGATCCCTTTTTTTTTTAATACGACAAACGCGAGCGCAACAGCACCGCACCCGAGTTCCGCCAGGCGTGCATTGTTGCGAATGCAACAGCGGCAACGCATATTTTCTCATACGGCGCTGCGCTCGGCGTAAAACTGCAAAAATACGCACGGGGAGTTCGGCGCGGTGAGTTTTTCCACGGTGAGCATTCGGCAAACACGTCATCTCGGTAACGAAATCTGGTTAAATCTGATATATCCCCGAAGCGCGCGGTCGAATAAGTGAGCAGATAAATCTTCGGTCCATATCACAATCGAAAACTTTTACAGTATATAATATTCCATCAGCACGGCCGCGCGCGATTTATTATTGACCGAAAACGCAGATGCGAAATTTCCCGGGGCCGCCGCACGCAATAATTTTCGACATACGCTCGGTCAACCATCGTTTTACCATTCGACCTGCATCGAAAATGTATCATCCCACCTCATATTTCACGATACGCACGCGTTTCGAACACGACGCAAGACCGGCATCTAATCGCCGTATGTGGCAATATCCGTGGTGGAATAGCGATAAGAGTGGTGAATCAAATATATGGAGTAACCGATACGCCCGAGTCTTATCTAGGCGGGCGAGTCATTGATTTATCATGCGTCGAGTACTCGCGCTCCGTACGATAATAACCGATAACGAGCTGGTAGGTAAATTTCTAGGTAACGGATCGATGATATCAGCTCTCGTTTCTGTTGGCACATCGCAATTTCGATGTGTTATCGTGAATCAGCGACGTAGAATTACGCCGGCGCCACGTCGTCGTGTGCGTTGCGTTAATAAGAAATTCGAGTCAAAAGTGTAAGCGCGTGTACGTGCGCGGAAATACAAGCGATCGCGACCGCCGAGGCTCGGAGGTTCATTTAATTTCGCGCCGTTAACATACAAATATACGGAACGCACTTACGATAGCGAGACGTTGAGATGATTAATGCTTCCAGGTTATTATCGTCGCTTTGGACCGCAAATGGCGCTGTGTCGTTTAATCTGAAACAAAAAGATGAACGTACCGTCAGTTTTGTACATTAACAAAATACGTAACATTGAATGACGTGTCCGGTATCAATTTACATTAGAATTAATATATCTTTACATCGCCGGGATTGACTAGTATTTTTTATCGGCTGCATTGCATGTGTATTTTGCATCGTGATTAAAAATTTCAACACTTTATTGTTATTCATTTAATTATAGTATAGATATTGTCTTTCAATTTGAGTTTAATCCCTCACATGTATTATTGTTAGATGGGCTTCTAATATGAGATAGCAGGTTTTCAACGTCCAAATTCAATAAAAAAATCTTTACTCGCAACGATTACGCGATCTAACAATAAATTTTCGACTAAACGTTCATGGTGAACTCAATAGATGACGCCTATTAATTTTGCAGAAAACGCACTATCTCGTATTAATATCCTGTCTCATAATAGGGGGCTTTTCTCTACATACATAGCTTGAGTTATAATGTACCAGACAATCAGAACGCGAAATGCGCCTGGCCGAAAGCGTCCAGATTCTAAATCCCGAAAGTGGAAAATTATTAATCAATTCTAGTATATGAGATTTTTGCTGCTACGATGCAGTCAAGAAAACACTTGGACGACGCTCGCTTTCTTCCTACGATCGATCAAGCACGTGACTCGGTCACGAAACGCACGCGAAACATTTTCTCGCTTGAAATTATGAGAGAAAGCAAATTCGTTACGAAAGTGGTGCTTTTTCTGGCCTCTGTGTCGCAACAAAACTCTGGCAAGTACGAAAATTTCCGTAACGCTCATTCGCGATAATTAAACAAAGCAAGCATTATAAATGTAATGCCTAAACACGCGCGTGTCTTCATGCGAACACAGTTTTTAAGTGATAAAACAGGACGTTGCACATAATAACGGTACGCAAGATATAATCGTATTATATTTTGTAATTAAATAATAAAACTGCCCATAACAGCTAATTAACACTTAATAGCGAGACGGATTAAAATGCGCTTATGAATATCGTACGTGCCGACATTGTTACGGCAAAATTATGTCCGCGCTGATTCGGAACAAATTAATACACGGTGCTCGTCGGTTTTTGCTTTCAAGGTTTCATAAATAGTAACACCACTATCGATAACAATGAATAAGATTAATATTATAACGTAATTTTTTTCGAAACAAAATTCACGATATAAAAAAATATGCCAACAGAAAATTTTAATTGTGCCTGACAAAAAGTAGCTCGTCAAAATAGATGTGTACATATTTTCGTATCGCCGTAAAATTGCGCCAAGAAAATGCAATCCATTGCGTTAGGAAATCACTTTCCGATTATAATGCAATCTTTTCTCCTACAACAAACTTTATTGTTGCACTTATTTTTTTTTAATGGCTGTAATTGATTTTAAAAAGTCCAAGTGTACAGCGTTCAGATATAAAGGAATGCAGTTATAAAGCAAAAGGCAATAAAGACAAAGGATTTAAAAAAGAATATCGAGTATCGGATTTATCAGAAAATCATAAATTCTATATTAGCTCATACACGTATACGACTCGTAGAACAGAAAAAGTTTCTAAATATCAGAGCTTATGTAGCGGCATTAAAGACAATTTATAAGACTTTCTGAACGTTTATTCGAATCTGCATTTTTATTCAATTGCACGATAAAGGCTTTAATTTACTAATCTATCCCTCTGCTATTTCACAAATTCCAACATTATTAATAATTATATTCTACATCTTATTTTATATTATACATTTTGGATTTAGACTTTAGTCGCGCTTTTCCAAAGTGTACGCACTTCCAAAAAAAACCGCGAGTAAGATTAGCTCACGTTAGGAATTAGAAGAACATATATGATAAGTATTTGCACAATATAATCAAGTTCAAGATATACAATCGCAGTTCGAAGTGGAAGGAAATCTAAACGGGTGCGAATACACTTCCTTACGATACTCTCTAAATGTCCGGAGTTGGGAAGTGCAATGAAATCTTACGAGGAACAAAGGTGACTTTTAGGGACTTCGAAGCGTATTCGGCGCGAAAGAATGACTCGAATTGAAATTTGCATTGGCGGGATTTTCTTCGGCGCGCGGAAACTCGCGCGGGGGAAAGTGAAATCGATAAGTATCGAAGAAAATATTCATAAATCCAAGCGATAGTTGTGGCGAGGCGTGACTCGCGATATAAAGGGGAAAGGTGGAGGTTACAGATTGAAGTTAAGGGCCGGGATTTCGGTGGCGGCCGACGACGCAGACAACGGTTTAACGGAGGGCGGGATAAAGAATTCGGAATTCGATTCGACGATCGTGTAAGTTTCCATGCGAACGAGCATGCCGACGGCATGACTCGGATTCGCTTCCATATACGTGAGGCAGGTACGAGCACGTTTCGAGGAGGACCGCGGATCTTATTGAAAGTTCCTGCCCGTAAAGTCGGTCCCCGTTGACTGGCCTGGATACATGCTAGCGAAATCCCGGTTCTTTTATAACTGGAACAGGTAAACCCGAGAATAGCTCCCCTTCCTGCTCCGCGCTTTTTTTTCCGGGAGCGACGATCGAGTTGCGATAAGGTTTGAAATGCATTGCTAACAAGTTCGCGAATCTTAGCCCCGAGTATTTTCGCCTTCGCATTTCAACAACTCGACCCACTATCGGCTATTCCAGCTTCTAAAACCGAGTCTTTTATTATGCATGTAAGTCCCGACTTCGTAATTTTAGCACGTGACTATTTCCGTCTTTTTCACTCTGAAAATTGGTTCATCGTTAAGTGTTTGAATTATATACATTAAGACAGAAAATGTTTGACTTATCAAACACAGAATTAGAAAAGCGTTTCAATTTAAAATTGCACTTGCACATAGAAATGATTGGCTTTCAAAACACTTTTGTATCAAACGTTGCAGAACCTTGTAAAATTGTGTTGCTAAAATCGAATACGAGTCAAGTTACACAGATATATACGTTTGATTTTCAAACGGGAACAAAATAAAACAAAGTTTGTGTTTGATTATTAGAAATTCAAATAGATTTGTATTTCGAGCACTGTCTAATTACACATTTATGAAACAAATACTTACGAACTTGTGATAAAAACTTTTTTAAGACTGAAAGATTAAAAAATTTTGACACATATATACTGTGTTGTTGCAAAACATAACTCAACACTTGTTATAGCATAATTAAAAATGAAACATCTGCATAAAATTTCAGTTATTCAGAAAATCAAACACTTTTACGCGTGAGATAAATCAAACACCACCTTAAACCAAACATTTATAAAATGTTTGAAATTTTACACACTAATAAACATCTTGAAAATAGCGACAGTAAAAATGTTTTTATTTCAAACACTTATCATTTAGAGTGTTCTCCATTATTATTCCTACTTTCTTAATAAACAGATATTCTACCTAGTTAATTAATTCCTCTCTCGTAAAATTTCGCAATTACGTCACGAATTTTGCAAAATTATATTTAGAATTAAATAACTTTATTCCAAAAGAAATCACCGATGTTCCTTTCCAACCGTGAAAAATTGTGCGAGCTAAAATTAGGTTTTCAATTCGTGTTCATTCCGGAGACACAAAATCAATTTAAAAAAACAATAATAAAACTCGGTACATTTCAGCGAGAATTGCTATGTGTGTCATACAATTATAAAGTTGTAGAAAAGAATCTAATCAGATTTTCACTAAGGAAAAATTCCCTCGGAATTGGTCCAAGGAATAATGAATAAAATATGACACGGTATAGGATACTTATCCTACTCCATCATACTTTCGCCATCAGAGCGCTCAGCGTGTCCTTGGTAGCTATCGATTTTACGATTTAAGCAAAATTCATTCTGCCCCAACGGCGCTGAGTATATTTGCGCGATCGGGCATGCGCCATATAAATAAGGTCGGGGATCGATAAGCCGTGCGGGAGGAGAAAACGAGGAAGAATGGAAAGTGCACGAGCAGCGCGCGCGATCACGGCGGCGGAAGTAGACGCCGCGGCGTTTCCTCTCTGCAGTTCCTTTCCCGCGTATGTTAGTGCGCCGCCCCGGCTGACAAGAAGATCTCCGGTATCGCGGTTTTATTTCAGCCAGACGTTAACGCGCGTACGAAATCCGCGGAACGTAAGGGCGTCGTGACGTCGAATAATCCTCGAGAGGTAATTTATCCCCACGAAATCTGGCCGCGAAAAGAAAAAGAAACTACGAGGAAGAGAGAGAGAGAGAGAGAGTATGCCCCGTGGAGATACACACGGCTATTCCCGCCGGAAGAGCAAGCGGACGAGTATATGAATGAGACCGCGAGTATTGGTAATCCCGAAGATTGAGTTTGCAGTGAAGTTTCCAAGTCGTTCCCTCGGTTCGGCGATTTCTTTCCTTTTTTTTGCCCACCCCCTTCCCCCACCCCCTTTCCATCAGCGTCGACGCGGGCGGTGGAATGGAATTAACGAATCGAGTGGCGTCGCTGAAAGTTCGATCTTTGAGACGATCGGCAGATACGATACGCGATCTTAATCGCGTCTCTCGAACGAACTCGTCGGCAAGTTCTATCAGAGCCTCGTCCTCGGTTCCCGGTATATCGCTCCGCTCGCGCCAATACGCAAACTCCGCGGGGGGGGGGGGGGGCGGAGAATAGTATCGCTCATGCGAGGGTATAATTTATCTTTATCGTAGCAAATTTATTTTCTCCGATTAAAAACAAATATTTCGGAATATTTCTGAATACACGCGAAATATCTGGGCCGCAGTAGAAAAAGGTTTTATCGCGGATCTGATTGCACCGCTACCGGATACGGCAGTTTGTTTTTGTACTATCAAACATTCACGATATACTGTAAACGTTTTTTTTTTTGCGTTTACAGGGAGACGAGTGCGAGTCTACAAATTCTTTGCAGATTTTGTAAACGCCGCTACCATAAATTACGTTTACAGGAGTAATTGCGAGCTTTTATGCAATTGCCCCGCGCTCTCGCTCGCCTCTTGTCGCGCGCATTGAAATTCTATAGGCC